GCCCTGTGCTCACCAGCCCTCAAACCTGGATACCACAAGGACACTCCCATCCTGTCACCCACAGGGTGCCAGAAGGGTGAATCACATTTTCCCCTTCCAGCTGCCCACGGCTACAGGTAGAATGGGCGCTAACTTGTCCCCTCAGCATTCCCAGGCTGAACAGGGGACGCAGGTCGCCACACTTCTCGTCCCCATGCAGCTGCTTGCCTGTCGGGCTGTGGTGGGCGTTCCATCACCGGACTGGGCTGGCTCAGGCTGGTTCTGTCCGCTTTAGGCTCCCGGCTATGCTCGATATGGCTCGGCTCCGGCAGGCTCCACTCAAAGGTTGTCTACGGAAACTCTGGAGGCTACAGGCGACTGTGAGCAGCTGCCCGAGCCAGCCCTTTAAGTAAGCGGGTCACGTGGCCGCCGCCCAGCTGAACCCGAGTTCTGGCTTCTGTTGCAACACCACGCCCCGGGGCGGGCTGGCCTGGTCTGCAAGGCGATAAGTCATATGACCCTGGCAAGCACTGTTACAGGATCAATAGAGAAAGAAAAGACAAGAAAAGGAAAGGAAAGGAAAGGAAAGGAAAGAACTCCACCAGAGACCCTGGCAAGCACTGTTAACAGGAGAGAGAGAGAGAGAGAGAGAGAGAGAGAGAGAGAGAGAGAGAGAGAGAGAGAGAGAGAGATATATATTTTCTTTGGCTGACTTTACAGAACAGGGCAGAGGCTGAAGATAGGATGTGAATTCACTGTCCCAAGAGGACTCCACATTCCCTGAAAAGCAGCCTGCATATCTTCTGCCTGCAAATGGTGTGCACAGGATAAGTGGCTATGACTTCTGAAAACCAGAAGGTGCTTCCCTGAGTGTTCTGGAAAGGCCATCTTCCCCAGGGTGGATGGAAAGCAAATGGGCAGGGACTTTGTGCTGTAAATCCCCAGGGCTGGCACATGGCAGTTAATAATAACGGCAAGAATGAGGCTGGACAAAGGCTCCTGATGGGAATGGGGATACTGTTATTTGGCTGTCATGGGACTAAGCTTCCAGAAAGGACTGAAACTGAGCTATGGTCACAAAGTGCAGTCCTAACCATCCTCTGCCGAGTGCTTGCTGTGTGCAGAAGCTCAGCTCATCTCCACAGCAGCCCACAAGATCAGGCCAACCGCCATTCCCATCGCTTTTGTCTACTTGACTCTAATGAGGAACAGTGAAGTCAAGGAATTTTCTTGTCACTCAGTTATATTGTTGGCAGAACAAGGATTCTAGCCCTGGTAACAGGATGCCAGGCCTCCCTTCTAAACACCCTGTCCCAAGCCCTGTCATGGAGGGTCCAGGAGTTTAGGGGGAAATAATGGGAAATCTGTAGATTTAGAGGACCCCAGAAAATGAAACTCATACCGTGAATCTCCTTTTTAACATGGGGAGCTGGGACACCCAAAGAGGGAGGCACTAACTCAGGCTGTGGCCCTATCAGAGACACAACCTTTGCTTACCCTGAGTTTCTGACTCCTGGGGTCTGGCTTTTTCTCTGGAAGCCTCAGATGTAGCTAGAAGATAGGCTACATAGAATCTAGCAAAAGAAGCAGCCAGACCAGGCTGTTCTGGTCTCTTCCCAACCTCTCCCATCGCCCCTGAGCCCTGTGCCCTGACCCTAGCCCGCCAGGCCCACACTGACTCAGCTTCCTGGCTTTCTTTGCCTCACGCAACCAAAAGACCCTAGTCTTTTTTCCTGCTTCAGTGGCTAGCTGAATACCTACCCCTCAAAGACATCTACACCCTCACATCAAGACCAAAGGAAAATTCTGAAGGCAAATGTGAGACTGTTCTGGACCATCCCTCAGGATCCAGGGTCATTACAAAGTGCCTGATGGATCCAGATGCAGTTGGTGGATGAGGAAAGAGGGGCAGAAGAGAACAGGAAGATGCTGGCCTGCCTCCAATAAAGGTGGGGGACATGCACAGGAGGCTGACATGCACAGGCAGCCTCAGGAAGCTAGAAAAATGGGGGAACTATTGCTACAGGAGAGCCCAGCCTTACTCAGGCTCTACCCCACACCCATCCCATCTCACAGGCTTCCTTGGTGGATTTCAGGAGAGACCCCTAAGAGAGGGGTCAGCTGTAACTCCAAAGCTTTCCAGCTAGCAGATGGATTGCCAGTGTCTGTAACTGAGAGGAATAGGGTGAACAGCAGCAACTCTGTGTGCTCCATGTGTGTGGTGTGCGGTGTGTGTGTGTGTGTGTGTGTGTGTGTGTGTGTGTGTGTGTATGTGTGTGTGTTGTGTCTCTGTGTGTGCGTTTATGTGTGGTGAGGGGATGTGGGAGCGTGTGCATGTGTGTAGGGGTGTGGAGAATGTGAGAGTGTGTGCACAACAGTTTGAAGTGTTTCAGACAGGGCCTTACAAACAATTTAGAACCAAACAAGAGGCTTCTGTACCTTGCTAGAAGTTTCATTTCCTCCTGCCTGAGGCTAAAGCTGCCCTTTTACCAACTAACTATTCAGAGGAAAGCTGAGGAAGCAGAGGGTGACTCAGCAAAATCTGTCTTCCCTTTGTCTGCAATCCCCCTCCCAACCGTGACACAGCATGAAAGCAGCTACAAAGCGGTGGGGAAACCACAACTCAGCATTGGGGGGAGGGGTGGCGGCAGCGGTGAGGACAGTGGAAAACAAGGTCCAGGCTCTGGGTGGGCTCTGGTGTCCTGGGACCAGGATGGAGTTCTTTGTGCCTTTTGTCCCAATTAGATGACAGGGAATTTGTGTGGGTATCTTCAAGCAGGAATCCTCCATTGAGGGCATGTTGACTACACCATGCCTGAGACAGACCAGGAGGGGACATGTCTCCAGCCCTGTAAGGCAGGGGACTCCAGTGGGGGATGAGCAGCCTATATATACACTGTGTGTCAACAGAGCAGATAGCCCAAAGCTGAGAAAACTCCCAATAGCCTGCCTGATGACAAGAGGGTCCATAAGTAAGGTAGAAACCCTCTGACAGGCAGAGAAATACGTGCTGCCACATGTAGGACAGAAAAAGAGAATTCCTAATGAAACAGCTGCCCAAAGAAGAGAGACAGGACAAATGGCAACTGACCCCTGGTAGAGAGCCCCATGATAAACCTCACATACACAGACAGCAGACAGCTGGATCCCGAGGCAGTAACAGAGGAAGCTGCCCACCCCTGGTGAACACCTGTCCTGTCAATGACTCCCTGCTGCCCCTGGGGTAAAGTGCAAGCAAGGCCTTTATCCAGGCACAGCTGGCCCCTGAAGATCTAGCTGAGCCCACCTCTCTGGCAGAAGACTCTCACTCCATTCTTCTCCCTACACCAAGCATTTCAGACTCATAGGAGGGCCTTCCAGCCCTGGACCAGCAAGACTGTTATCCTCAGGGTTGATAGCCTCCCCTAAAATATCACTTTTGCCCAGAGACTAGTGTAGGTGCATGCCTGTAACCCAGCACTTGGTGGGTGGAAGAGGGAGAAACAGCCAATTCACCAAAGACGTAGGAGTTACTGTAGCAAGCTTTTTTTGTCAGAACCAACAGCTCACAAATAACAACGTGTGTGTGTGTGTGTGTGTGTGTGTGTGTGTGTGTGTGTGTGTGTGTGAGAAACATCTAAAAATCAAAGTAGATGTGAAAGTGTATGTGTGGGGGGTGTGGGAGTATGTATATGTGTGCAGGGGTGGGGGTGGGAGTGTGTATGTGTGTAGGGGTCTGGGGTGTGGGAGTGTATGTATGTGTGTGCATGCCAGTTTGAAGTGTTTCAGACAGGGATTTACAAACAATTTAGAACCAAACATAATTTATTAATTATGAAAGCTAGGCCTTAGCTTACACTTGTCCCAGTAGCTCTTATAAATTAAATTAACCCATTTATATTAATCCATGTTCTGCCACATAGCATTGTGTCTCTTCCATCTTGTACCTCCTGTTTTCTCTCCAGGTCTCCCTGGCAAATCTGCTTTTCTTCTGCCCAGAGCTCTCTCTGCCCAAAAGCCCCACTTGTACTTTTCTGACTAGCTATTGGCCACTCAGCTTTGGACTACACCAATTACAGCAATCCGTCTTCATATGGTGTACACATAATCCAACAAGCTACCTACCATATACCCACTAGGTATGAGAAAGAACACCAAAGAACAAATTCAGCCCACAAATTCACTCATACTTACTAGAAGGGCTTAATTAAGAAGATGCATGACTCCCTATTGCTAGTGAAAACTTTTTATTGAGGGTGATTAGAATGTTGCCCTAATAACATGCTGTTTTAGCCAAGGATTATTTTGAACTGAAGATAATAAGGCCCCAAAAGCTCTGTGCTCTTCACTCCCTCACCTACCCCAAAACAGGCTTAGCATCATCATAGTAGATAAAAAAATTAGATTTTCCAACCCCAGAGAAAGTCCCTAAGATGTCTTTTATTTTAATTATTATTTTATTTTAGGTGAATGGGTGCTTTGCTTTCTTTTACTCATGTGTACCACATGAGTACCTGGTATCTAAGGAGACCAGAAGAGGGTATTAGATCCCCTAGAACTGCAGTTAAGGATGATTGTAAACTGTCTGCCTCCTGAGTGCCTGGAGGGATTAAAGCTATGTTTCCCCAGACACAGCTTCACTTGTCTATTTGTTATTGTTTTATTTCCATCCAGAGAGCCTAGGAGGTAAGGGGCAAAGGTCCCTAGATCAACCCACTCTAATGTTAGAGTTTCTTCAAGCACTAAATATCCACCTACTGTCTAAGCAAGGTCTTAGATTTTAGAGACCATTCAGGGTTGTTCATGGAATCTTTATTTGTCATAGTCTCAAACTGGGATAACCTATATGTCCCATAGCAGGTGGCTGGATAAACATGAACAAATAAACAGGAAGGAACATGCTCAACACCACATCTTCAAAATAGTTATAAAGGCACATGCCTTTAATCCCAACACTCGGGAGGCAGGGGCAGGCGGATCTCTGTGAGTTCGAGGCCAGCCTGGTCTCCAGAGCGAGTGCCAGGATAGGCTCCAAAGCTACACAGAAAAACTCTATCTCGAAAAACCAAAAAAAAAAAAAAAAAAAAAAAAAAAAAAAAACTAATATAACCTGCCTATGCCTTGTGAATACTGGGATTAAAGACATATGTTACCACATATGGTATCTTGGTCTTTTTTCAACTAAGCTTTTTATTTATTTATTAATAGTGGTGAACATCTTTAATCCCAGTGCTTAGGAGGCAGAGATAACTGAGTTCCAAGTCAGCAAGGGCTATATAAATGAGAGCCTTTTTTTTTTTTTTTTTTTTTTTTTTTCCCCTAAGCCTGTAGCACAAAATAATTGCTGTGCCAAGAGGCTGGGTATAAGTGCAATCCTGACCACGGGAGTTCACTCTCTGGAACCCTTGAAAAGTTGG